AAAAAAAAAAAAATTCTTGTCCCATTAGCCTTTACCATCAATGTCAAAATGCTACACTTACATTCTAGCATTAGTAACAGTCAAGAGTATCTAGTCATTCCTCCAAATTGCAAGTCCAGACCAGAAGCCCCAGAAGAGACAGTTATCTTTAACAGCACCCCCTAGCACCCTATGGCTGCCTTACCCTCATTGGCTCCTTTCCGAAGCTGCTTGTAGTTACATGACTGCTGAATGAGGTCCAATAGTTTCTTGGTGAGGTGGGCATCAGCAAGGGGATAGGCCTTCGGATTTACATCAGCCTCAGTCTATGGGGAGAAATTAAAGCATCAGTCAAACTGAAGTTGTCCTAAACACATTACAAAATACTATCAACAACTGAAACACAGAGGGCAGTTTCTCTGCTGCCCCACCCTCAACACGTAATAAACCATGACCCGTCCACTCCCAACATAGAAAAATGGAAATACACTATCATCACCAAAACAGCAATCAATTATACAGCTCAATAATGTATACTAAAGCTTATATACCTATTTCTCTTTAGCCTGTTTGACAATACTATATTCTAGCAAATGGGTTGCAAATGGGCTCCCATGGCTCAGCATCCATTTGAGTCGCCTGGGATAATCTTTAAATTTGGATATCCATATTCCATCCCAAATTAACTGAGTCAAAATTAAGATATAATTCTATTATTCATCTTATTTTGTGAAAGTCAATTGCTTAGTTTTGTCTCTTGCATCATTGTGGAAGCTAGGTTCTGTCCTTTAATTTGTGGTGTTTACTTTGCTGAAGGTCCATTATGATGGTCAGTGTGTAAAACAGGTTAAAGTATTTCCTGTAAAGCTGCTCTTGTTCTCTTGTTCTCCTTTTCCAGCTGGAACCATGGAGGGTGTCAATGGGAAAACATACCATGCTCATGGCTGGGAAGAATCAACATTGTTAAAATGTCTATACTTCCCAAAGCAATCTACCAATTCAATGCCATCCCTATTAAAATACCAACACCCCATTTTCAAGACTTGGAAAAAATGATTCTGTGTTTTGTATGGAACCAGAAAAAATCTGTATAGCTAAGGCAGTTATTAGTAATAAAAACAAAGCCTGGGGTATCACCATCCCAGATTTTAGACTGTACTACAAAGCCACAGTGGTCAAGACAGCATGGTACGGCTTGGCGCCTGTAGCTCAACCGGCTAAGGCGCCAGCCATATATACC